ATATACTGATCATATATTGATCATATATTGTACATATATCACAACACAACACAAAATAATAGAGACGCCATCGATTTTTTTCTTAAGAAAAGTTATGCAAATATACTAACATAAACGCAACATATATCATCATATACGCAAACAGTAATGATGGTATATGCATTGTATATATTTTCCATTATTTTTCTAAACATAAGCCATACATATACCGAAAATATACTGAATATAAACCATATATAACGTAGAAAACGATACATATAAAGTAGCTCTTATATTATAGAGAACATATACTCCATATATACACAACATATACCCGCAATCTTTTGAAAAACAAAAACGATTTTTACAAAGTGAAAAAGGCAAAAAAAAAATTCACAACCAGAGACCTCAATAATCCCCAAAAGTCGGCTGAAAATTAAAATCAACAGTTCAATACACGGTAATCTGGTCGTCGGGTCGGGTCTGCTCTCGTTGGTCGAACGTGGTTCATCTTTGATGTTTTTCCGGTCGCGAAGGAGATCTCTCGGTGAATATGGAGACCCGTCGACGGCCATGGCTGTAGGCGATTGATGGGCAGACGCCGGCGGCTGCACGCCAAACTGAGGCACGCAATGGCGGCGATTTCTCGACGACTGAAGGTGTGCAACGGGCAGACATCGGCAGTGTTATGGAAATTAGGGATTTTAGAAATTTTGGGGCAAAGATCTAAATGGATTGACTTTGTGCAAGGAAGATAAAAATTTATAAACTTTGGTCTCGAATTCAGTGGTGAATTTAATAATCAAGATATAAGAAACGAATTCTGCATAGACAATTTAATTTAGGGGATTTTTCATTGAATTTCAATTAAAGATATCATTTGCATTTAATATGCCTGAAAATAACGTAATAATGGTTTAGGTAAAATTGAAATATTTTTGGCTTGATTAGATAAATTTATAAATAGAAATATAAAGGGCATATAAGTGAATAAAAATCAGAGTTGTTGGTACAGAGTGCAAATTCCTCAATAAAGAGAAAAAAAATTGTTGAATTAAAAGAAAGAAAGAGAAAAGAAAAAAAAAGTCCGAAGCCCAATTACAAGTATGTGTGCAACCTATGATATCCAATCGGCTCATTTACATACTTACCGTATTGATTGATAAATATTTGTAAAATTACTAGCTACAAATATTTATTTGCAAACATACCTACTTGACCATAAAAAATTATATTAATGCTAGATTGTGTAACAGAAGAGAGAGAAAAGACTTTCCCCAAAACCCTTTGGATAATCCCTTGACTTACGGGATTCTTTCATAAATGGAAAAAAAAAAATATATATGGTAAGTTACGCAAAATTAAGTTGAAGATAGAATCCTAAAAACAATATTTCAAATTTGATTAAAAAAAGAATTAATTTATGTTGAATATAAACTGATTTTATATATAAAAATTATGTCTCACGATAATTTTTTTTATCATATACCGTAATATACTTAATATAAGCCACATATACGAATATATATATATATATATCAATTTATGCTTGTCAATTTCGTTTCAACAAAAAAATCTTATAATATACTAAACATAAACTATGATAAATATTGAAAACAGAAAAACAAACATTCATTCACAAACTAATTTGTACATAAACTACTATACCAAACACAAACTAAGATGTACAATAATTGTACACATCCCATTATATGTACATGTACTGATCATAAAATAATTTTAATGCACAGACTGATCTGCGGATTTCCTAAAAGAAAAAAAAGAGTGATCATATATTGAAATATACTTAATATAAATCATATATATACACACAAAA